TGTTCTAACAGTAACATTATTAACTAATTAACATATTATTATTTTGTAATTTCACTATCTTTTTGAATATAAACTACTCAGTCAGACATTCAGTTGTATCATACTTAGAAATAAAAAGTTATATAACAAATATGTAATAATAAACTGCTTGCAACAATTAAAAAATAAAAAATTCTTCAATTTTTCGGTCACTTTTAAGCGGTTATATCTTCGCAAAAAACGAACGGACAGAAAAAATGAAAAAAACATTTTAAAGCTTGAAACTTTTAGTTTTCAAATCAATTAGGAAAAATTCGCTACCACTTTTCTCGGGAAGTTATTCTTTAATGGAGAAATCAAAATAGAATTGTAAAATTTTCTCTCAAGTTCAAAACGGTGCACGAATATTAAAAAATTTTCTTTCAAGAAACCAATTGCACTGTCTTAAATTTTGTACATTCCGTTTCAATTTTCTTTTTTGTGAATTTTATACGATTTTTTTTACCAAATTATTAGCTGTTAAAGTAAAAATTGCACTATTGCACTATTAAACGATCCTAACTCGGGAACATGTCATCGCACAACATTCATCATAGGATTATTGAAAAGCTAAAAACCTCCTCTATAAGATGCTCCCACTGAATTTTTGCTTTGAAATCTTTTTTATGTTGCAAAATTGAACAAAGTATGTATTTTTCTGTGTGTACATTATGACTATACTGAAAGAAAGATTTGATAACAATTACCAAACATTTAGTTAAATAGATTCAACTAAATGATTTTGTTACAATAACTAAATCATTTAGTTGAAATTATTTAACTAAATATCTGGTAATTATTATCAAACCCTTCTTTCAGTATATATGTAATTATATTCGGCTAATCTGTCATATTGTATAGCTTCATCATATTGCATGTATCATACTATATTATATCATACTATATTATATCATACCATATTATATCATCACACTATATCATGTAATAATGCAACACATTGCATCTAGACACGATAAGAAAAATTAAAAAGTCTATTGAATTTTGGCCTAGTAGAGTTACTCAATTAAAGCTTAACTATTATATTTACCTATTTCACACAAAAACTATTAATTCAAACAGCCGAATAACGATCCACGAATATCATTCTCTAACTGGCAATGCTTTAAATCGAAGATCGTAAATTGCAGCAATTGCCATATATCATTTGGCATTTAATATGGCAATATCATTTAATATCACTATCAATTAAATCAACTATCAATTAAAAGATGCGTCCAGCTCCAAATTCCGATCCACAATCTCGATCTTCTCTACAAGACAGATCGATCATATTCCAATTTTCAACTCGTGCCATTCGTTCTTCGGATCGTTTTTCCGATAGGAATTCCCGGCCAATCTTTGATCTACGCGATCAGGAAGCAACCTCGATCTACGAAATGTAGCCCGATACCTATATCATAATTCGCGATTATGCCTCGTATCGCGTGATTACCTGCAGTTTCAGCGAAGCGTGTAATCTCGTCGATTTTCACAATGTGAGCAATGCATAATGCTAATATAGATGACACGCAAAAATAACGAAAAATCGTCTCTGGACGACAATCACTGTTGCCCGATATCCCGGACATATCTAAGAAACTCTTGAGAAAATTATCACGCGAGATATCGTATCACTCAAGAAGATCGGGCGATAACGCGAATTACGAATTAATGATACACGTGCTACTCGTGCTACAGTTACGGTTACGTAGCGAAAATATTCAGTAATCAATCTAATCTGCCAATATCGTGAATAAGATACGTCGACGAATAACAACAACGATGCCGTATAACAACAGTGAAACGACGCGAATCGGAGTCCAGATAAGGATAAATCAATTTCGCTATCGTTTTTCAATAGAAATCACGACTTCCCATGACAAAATCCAAGTTCCTCGAAAAAAAAAGATAACCGTTTTGACCGCGAAAATCAGCTGATCGTCGATGTGACATCTCCCTTTCTGCAAATGTACTTTGTAGATTATTGGAGCGAAATTTCACTTGAAATGTAAAGTCATACGAATCCGCTCGTAAAGAATGAAATTCTCTAAATATTCCGAATCAGCATGTGAATATTTTCATACACAGAAAAAAGTGCTAGATTCAAATATAAATTATTATTCCAATACTCCATAGAAAGTTTTTATTTAGATCAAACAATATTTACTTAATCCAGATAAAATACTTCCCAAGCAAATTATCTAAGTAAAATATTTATTTGTTATAAGTGAAATTTAATCCAAGTAAAAATGTGCTAAGGAATAATGGAATAATTATTTATTTGAATATAACACTTTTTTCTGTGCACAAAATTGAAAAGTGAAGTTAATATACAGAGTGGCTTAAAAATCGATTTAAAAAATTTACAATTTCTTTTTACAATACAAGTAATACATGCTTAAAATTTGTTCCAACGTTACGAATTAAAAAAATGTACTTTTCTTAAAGATTATATATATTCCAAATATTTTTTGCAGATTATATTCTTAGAATGAAAAAGATTTATAAGAGAAAATTCGAAAATGACAACCGAGTTTTGTGCCACCCTGTATTTTATTGTCACAAATTTCTTTAGTCGTTTGAAATATCTATTTGTACGGATTAAAAATCCAGTCTGAGTGAAACATTCACTCTCAATATTTTCACGATAGCTTCGCGTGAGTTTTCGCTTTAAGCGAGAATCGTTTTGAGTGCGATTTCGTTGCACGAAATTTACCACCGACAGTAATAACACAATGTATCTCTTGCAGGCTTGAAGTGGTTTGTGATCGGATTGTTGATAGCCGGATCGATATTCTTGATTTTGACGCTGTACTTCGCGGTCGACGCCTGTTACAACGTCCTCGCGCAAAAAGACTCCAGCTTCTATAAGGCGAACGTCATCGTAATCTTGTCGGTGTATCCGGTCGCGAGCATGTGCAGTCTCGCGTCAATCGCAATACCAAGGTGAAATAAAAAGAAAAATCGAACATGAAAAAGCTTATTACGGCTTATTATTTTCTTACTTATAAAAAAACTTACACGATGATAACGAAACGAGGAGAAAAATCAGCATCGGCGGAACGTGAAAAGAAAATATGCGTGAATCATCATGTTCAGAAAAATCGACGTGTTCCTGTTTGATGAATCAACATTTCTGCAAAAAAAAGAAGAAGAGAGATGATACCTTACTCTCTTTTCAAACCGGGAGGGGGGATGGGGGAACACACGAAAACGCTAATCATTGTTTGCGTCTCTTTTCGCCAGAATAAGGCATTTATCAATCTTCACATTTCGGTAGATACACAACATTACTTATCTGTTTGTCGAGTTATTATACTTGCAATGTCACTAGTCCCCTGATACCGTCTGCGTTCGCAAGAATAGAATATTTACCTTGTTGATTGTCACTTTTCGAAATGAAGTCTTAATTGCTCTTCCGGTACTTCAAATATTACCACAACGGCTCGCCCGAGTATTATCGATTGCGCGAAAAATTACGCAGGAGGGTGATATAGACGGAGAAATCTTGAATGGAACGTTTTAAAATAACGAGAATAACGATAACAGATAAAATTCCGTTGCTTTCTTATTATGTTGCCGTCATTTTCATTATGCTCGTTAAAGAACGTTTGAAAGGACATCGACGCGACTCTAAAAAAAGGGCTCGTTCGTCTTTCGACAGGGGTCAGTTACTATCGGAAGCGGTAACCCAAATTTATCTAACGATATCCCTCTATCGACTCTATCTCCTGCTGCTCGACGTCGGCCGTAGGAAGATAACCGAGACGCCGTCGCTGATACTGCGAGTCGGCCCATGTTGCTGCTGGCCCTGTCTGCCCTTCCCGAGCCTCGAGATGACCGACGCCAATTTGTCTTGGATAGGAATTTTGGCCCTGCAACTTCCTATCGTCCAGGTAAAGAATCTCTCCCCTCCGTCCCCTGCTTGCCCTCGTCGTCCCTTCACGCTTCGATTATCGCCGCTCTCAAGCGGAATAATTGCCTATCGGTCTGATTAGAACTGACGGGAACCATCATCGCCGGCCACTTGGCGCGATACGCGAAATGCAATTTGCAATGAAGATCGATCGTATCGGGTCCCCTGAAAGATACGTGTCGATTCTAGCGATTTTGCTTCATCGCGCTCAATGGACATAAATTATTCATCAGTCGCTAGTGAAATTATTAATTATCTGAAATACGATATTATATTATATATTACTCGAATTATTAATTGACGTTATTATCTTCGCTAATAGCAGTCTGGCAATAATCGTAGAAAATGCCTCATTCAGCTGTCAAGAGTAATCAAAAATTTAAACAGAATTTTTTTTTCTTCGATCTCGATTTAGTATAATAATATTAGAAATTTTACGGCTTCTTCTTAGCATAATTAATTCCGTAATGTATATTATTTCATCGCAACTGGGTAAATTGATGCACACAGTGTAATAATGTAGCATGCGAACGGTCTTCGGCAGTTGAAACGAAAGCAACGTATCTGTGACATAAAGCGGAGCGCCCACTTAACTCGAGCATCTTAAAATCTCCCTTTCTCAAGATGCTTATTTTTCTTTCAAGTAGCTCATGCGAGTTCACCCTACTTTACGAGGGGCGTACAAATTTTCCGTTGCTCTAAGCACCTCGAAACAAAAAAAAAGCGAAACGTACAGCTTTTCACTATTTATCTTTCCGGAAGGAGTAAATATCTGAGATTACACCGTATCAAATCATAAATATTTGTTGGCCCTCTGTGGAATTTGAAAACGAGAATCGACAAAAATTCAACGAAAATATAACGAAGGCCGATGAAAATCGGTAGCATGACGTGTAAAAATCGCGAGATATCAGACGCGTTAATTGAAACTTAAGAGCGAGAGGTTAAGATTCACGATGCTAAAAAGACAGAGGCGGATTTTCACATTGTTTAAGCGATATTAAAACGGAACGAAAGAACGGAATAAGATTTTCGACACCGAGAGTCCAAGTCTGAGAGAATATTCGCACTTTCAGAGCACCCTTTACTTCGTAAATCTTTTCATGGCGGCGGAAGACCCGATGATCGCCAACGAATACAGTGTGTACCTCCAACCGTTTATGGTGACCAGCATACTTTTTGGAATATACAGTCTCACCATCATCACGAAGAGCCTGCACGCAGTAGCTCCAGGTAATGAGCGCGCATACTTATTTATTCGAAGGTTCGCCCGTCGTCATACATTTTTCATCGAGGGATTCATCTGCATCGCGCGGCCATTTTTCACTAACCGCCTGACCGCGTCGGCCAATTAATCATCGCACGCAAAACAAAGAGGGAGAGAGAGAGAGAGAAGGAGAGAGAGAGAGAGAGAGAGAGCACGTTTTGTATCAGTCCGTAATACGAGTGTATACTCAAGATACCGAGAGTTAATGGCGGGAAAATCATTAAAATATTAGTAAACTCATTGAGATATCTCACTTATCAATACAAATATCGTTCTATATTCAACTAGACGCGCAACGTCACCGCTGCGGATAATTAGTGCTGATACGTTAAGGACTCACTTTAACACTGCGAGGAAATCCGTCCGAGAAAGCTGTGGACGGATTTACGGGTTTACGAGATACGAGATCGTGCGATATAGATACGAAATGTGTTCGAAAGATGTCTTTTCCAAGGAAATTTCTCTTCAAAGAGGAAGGAAGAAAGCTTTTCTTCCAAACCACAGTTAAAAGCGCACAATTTTTGACGTCGAATATTTCGATCACAGTTACGACTCCCTTCAATGGCGTGAAACTATATAATTTTTATTTGAACTTAATTTAATACTAGTATTTTTATTTTGTTCAAAATATTGATCTTTTTAATAATGTAGTAGTAAACTTGTTATTTTGCTCAAAATATTGATAGTGTTTTTAACAATACAATTTTTATTTTATTTAAAATATTTAACGATTCTTCGAATAACGCAATTCGTTTTTTATCTAAAATGTTTTAATATTTTTCTAATATATAATTTTTATTTGACTGAAAATATCGATGGTTTTTACGCGAAGTAAAATCGAATCTGATATATCGAGTTCGAGAAGACTGACTCTTTTCACAATGCAACGCGATTTCGCTCTTGTTCGGGAACATTTGTCAAACGTGTCCGTATACATTGACCCGGCGGACAATAGCAATTCTAGTAAACCATCGAATGCACATCAGAATGAGAAACGGTTTTTCAAGACAATGGCAAGAGCCGGGACGTCTATTTTCTTTCGTCACATGCGCATACACTCGCCCGTGCGCGCAAACACTCTATCGCGTTAATAAAAATAAAGGTTTCTAACCAACGACAACGTTCGTTTCCGCAGAAGCCAAGTTACATCTCAAGACATTGGTGTCGCAGTTGGTGTTGCTGTTCTCTAGGTTGCAGGCGGGTATCATCATAAAAGGTCTACCCTCTACAGGCCTGTTTCCGTGCAACCCGCCTATCACTCCAGAAGTCTACGCCAATGGTAATGGCATATTGCCAATTATTGCTCACTGTTGTACTTTAGCCAAAGTTATCGTCTACTTTTACGAAAGATGCGTTCTAAAGATACTAAGTCAAGATTCGAAGGCTTTAGACTCCACTGTGCGCATGTTGAAATATTAACGATATAAGAGATTTAAGATATTAGAATGAGGAGAATATCAGATCGAATCGAGAGCAAAGAATATATCTTTGCAATTATGTCGCAATATGTATATGTCGCAATTAGATTTTTTCTTTTGGCACAGACGCTCGATATCATAAACCACCGAATTATTATTGAGTAAACTATTAAATTAAAATAGAATAAAACGAATAAAAATGATTAGCTATTACTTTATATGAATTCAATTAAGATAGAATAGACAAATATGTGATTAACTGCCGAATTACTCAAATTTTATTCAAATTAAATCAAACGGAAAATTGGTTAACCGCTAGACTATCTCGTTTGAATTAAATTAAAACAGAATGAAAAAATTATGATAACTACCGAACTTCATTTGAATCAAATTAAAGCACAATAAGAAAGACGGACCGAATTACTTCGTTTAAATTAAATTGAATAAGATGGAAAAATGATCAACAGTCGTTGTCATTACTTCATCTAAATTAAGTTAGAGCAGAATAAAAAAACTGAGTGTGGCCGCCCTCTGCCTCGTTATTATTCATGCGCGATACGCGAAACATAATAAACATAATTCCGTATTCATGGCTGAATAGATCGTAGTTCTATTTTATGGAAATCATGAACAGCCTCTCGATACTGTGGCAGGCGAGAGACGAGCGATTAATGAATTATTTAACGTCCTTATTAAGCCACGGGGGATACGTGGATTACGTTACTTGTATACCGTCGACCGCGTTTAACGCTATTATGTCGCGTTCAGGTGCAAAGGTCCAATAAGAGGAAAAGGGGGAAAAAGGGGGGAAAAGGAGAGCGATTGCGCGAACGATTTCACGGTTGGATGGTCTCTCTCCTCGGGGACGATAAGATCGCTCATCCTTGAATTCAGAATGCATCGCCGCTTTTCACCCCAGATCGCTCTGGGGGACCGCGCTCGCGAGCCTTCGACCCACGATACCGACCAAAATGTAACAAAGAAACTCGTTTCACAGAAGAAAGACATCACGCAGCATCCGCGACGGCTGTATAAGAATTCACCCGTTACGTTACGTGCCGTGAATTAATTTCCGCCGTCGCGGCTTCGCAGAGGCTACGTTATGTACTGTGCGTTATAAGTTTTGTGGAGGAAAGACCGCGATACATTTCTCCTCGATGTGGCTCGAAATAGAAAAAGATTGTCTGAATTGTCAGACGATCTTCGCTCATTCCGAGACTCATCAAATGGAAAAGTATCGCGACTGTCTTGTCGTCGACTGCATAATGTCTGCATAACCAGTCACAGAAAGATTGCAATACTTTTCTTTTTATAAATTTCGGGACGCATCTTGTGTACAATAAGAGAATTCGTCCTTTAATAATTTTCAGAAGACATATTTTCCTATTGGATACGAAGTGCGTCGCGAAATTCATGGAAAAAAGTGTTGCAACTTTTGTTATATCGAATGTACATCACCGTACGCTATTACATGAGTAGAATTGCTGAACAGCGTCGTAATTGGAATAAATCTTGATTCAATAGTAATATCGTTGAAACTAATATTCAAGTTATTCAAACAACGTGTGATGTATTAGTTTCAATAATATTGCTATTGAATCAATATTGCTAAAAAATTGAAAAATCACTCCCATTATGACGCTATTAATCAATTCTGATATAATAATATTTTTTCGTACCTGTCTACTAATCATTTAACCATATAATCTCTTCTAATCTCTCCTATAAACCTCTGAAAAAATTCGAGCTATCTTTCTCGGAAGCACGCGTTCGCCGATATGAGCCACGTTAATCCACTTTGACACGCGAATATCGATGAATATACTAATAGCTGAAAATCGAAATGTAATTTTTATCAATATTGTAATTTTAATGCAACGAACGTGAAAAGTAATCTTTTCTTCAATGAGATATGTCCGAATTAATCCTCCACTCGATCCCTTTTATTATTATAATTTAATAATTTTATTAAAATTATATTAAAAGGATATAATTATATTACGAAATAACATCAATTAAAGATCTCAAAGGTCAATAACAGCCTATACTTATGTTATTATTATCGCGTAAAATGTAAATTATACTTAATATTAGCTGACTGAATGAATTAACGATCGAACGTTTCGGAAATCTTATCGGAAGATAAGGTCAAAAATGTTTGGTCATTTAACGTTTACGGTCTTTAATTATTTTCAACGTGTATCTCCAGCAAATCCGAATTAAGAGAATTCACGGGAGATAAAAGTGTATTATCTTTTTTTATAATAACAATATTGTTAAATTTTATTTTTTATTAAAACAAACATGAGCACGATATTCACTCATATTGGACACAGGAATAATGGAATAAAACTAATGTCTAGCCACACTCTATATATATATATATATATATATATATATTGATATTTTAAATATAACTCATATTTCGCATAATAATAATCACGGACGGGTCGTGTTTGATCCTTAAACTCCAATTAGATTATAGATTTCAAGAGCCTTGTTATCTTGTTATCTTAATATTTTATAATCTTTTGATCGAAGTTATATAACCTTTATGTATTTTGGATTTCAGTGACTCTCAACACAATAATGCTAATCGAAATGCTGTTCCTTTGTCTTGCTGCCCGGTACCTATATCACGTCGATCTCGAGAAGAATCAGAAGCCGGATACGTCGGATCGGTTCAGGACGAATCAGACGGATCTCTACGTAATCGACGTAAACAGCAAGCAACTTCCAGCGGTAGATACCGCGTGAAACTCGAATTAACGACAGAATGTCGTGCATGCTGTTTTTTTGCTCTCATCAGCGGGAAATCCGTCCTTGCCACGTTCTGCGTCAGGCACGCAATTCTTCTAACTGCGAATTGCGATCGGCTTATTATAAATCGATAAAATATACGCGAAGCAGACGCGTGCAGGTCGCGCGTAGTCCTAGAGTGTTTATTTTTTTACGAAAAGCTTCGTAACACGTAATCTCCATTTTATAGAAACATAGTGACAAAGAGAGAAAAAGCAGCGAAATCGATGAAACTTCGTACGACAAGCAAAATTCGTACGAATGAACATTCAGTCGGTTGAACAAATTAATATTATATATTAACCCTTTTAGTGCCGGGAGCCGATATATCGGCTCCTGCTACACCGGCGAGAAGTGCCAGAGCCGATATATCGGCCCGCACCTTGTAGCGCTTTACTATTCGCATTGCGAGAGATCTCTATCAAAATAAATTTAAAATACGTTATAAATAGTCTAATTTCATTACGAGAGAATTAAAATAAATAATTTTTAAATATTGCTTTTCGTTTGGTTTTTATGAGCCTTTTACCAAATCCTAGTAAAATCGGCCGGTTATCTTCGCATAAGCACCTCTTTTTCGCCCGGCACTAAAAGGGTTAATATCATATATTAATGTAATGTATTAATCAATTGAATCAACTGATAATTTATCGCAGCAATTCTATTATTAATATTAAATATCAATTTGTTAAATTAATATTATATATTAATATTATTATATATATATATTTTTTTTTAATATAATATATTAATATATGTAGGATTAATTTATAGTAAATTAATATTAAATATTTTAATATTATTATATAATTGTTACGCTCTAAATTACCAACTGATTCAATTGACTAATTGCAATTTGATCTGCGATTGTACAACATAACGTACATAAGAAATAATTTTGGAATATTACTGCTTTTATCTAAAAGGAATCTACTTTGAAAATTTGACTTAAATCGGAGCATATACGTTTTCGGAAGTTTTGCTCAACGCGTAATTTGTTCAATGGACGTAATATTTGTCCAATCGAAGGTGGTCGCTGATCTAGCCACTTTTTTCTCAATGAATGATTTTAAGAGACGATAACTGACATGAATTTGAAAGGAGCACGCGTACACGAATTTCGCTATCGATCAATTTGAACTACAACGCACCTTTCTGTCTCGGCAAACAGATTCCAAAGGACAACAACTACGTTGCCGATCGAGCGGTGTGTAAACGAAGTTACAGAGCGCCACGATCGATCGAAAGTGCAAGACACGTCTTCTGGTCTCGGAAAACAAATTCGACGGGACGATAACGCCACGTTGCTGTTCGAGGAGCGTGAAAATAAAGTTACAGAGCTCCACGATCGATCAAAAATGCGAGACGCGTCTTCCAGTGTCGGAAAGCATATTGCAAAGGATGATAACATTGCGTTTCCGATCGAGAAGTGTGAAAACGAAGTTACAGAGGCCGTAAGGTGGGCCCCAGTTTTCAAAGCCTGATATTCAATCGCACGCTCGCGCGAGATTAACGAGGCACGAGCGATGGCCACGACGAAGACGAATCCCATGGCCGTTTACACGCTTTATCCGTCGTGTCATCGCGTTCTCCGCGTCGCGAAGAGGAACGTTAATATTCCGATAACGCGCGCCCGTGCGGGATATACACCATATATCGAGTGTCTCCGGTCTCGACGAGAGAGAGAGAGAGAGAGAGAGATGAACGTGCTGGAGATAAGGGCTTACACGAGGACCGTTCCTATGGCTTATTATTCTTTCCCGTGGACCCTTCGCCTCGCCTCGTTCTGCTCGCATCGCGTGCGACATTTTACAACGCGGGGTAACCTTACCCTAAAAGCGAAAACGTGAAAAGTTTCACATGGAAAGTCTCAGATTTCCATAGTCAGAAAAATTTCATCATTGCCAAAATCATCGAGTCCACGTGAAACTTTTCATTTTTCACATTCCTATTCTTAGGGAAATGTTCGAGGAGAAGCGCTAAAACTGACACAGATCTTGTGGCAATTTCTATATCCTCTGTTATTGAACCGCGCAAAAAAAATTCAGATTAGCTGTTCTGTAAACGGACATATCTAAACTTTGCAGTGAAATATCATTTCACAGAATAGAATTAAAACTATCAGTGACTGTGGTCAGGTTTCCTCTGTTTTTTGGTTTATTTGTTTAAGATAGTCGGAAGTAAAAAGTCAAGAAATCCCTTTCCATATAATGAAAGAGCAATATACACCGTAAAATTAATAAAAATTTTTTTAATATGGAGGATTAAAGATAGTTTATGTAAAGATATATATAATTTTAGTACTTTGATTTTATTTTATTGATAATTCTTTATAAGTGTTATAGGTATGTTTGTTTCGGAGTCTAGCTTCTAGAAGTGTTAATTCTCAAATATCTCAAAAAATAATTATGTGCAAGAGAATATATAATAATTTTCGTAATATTATTATATAGTTCGGTGGAGAAGTGTTGCCGGTTTGCATCCATAACATTTCTATGCGCATAAATTTTGATTTTACATCTTTAAATAGGGCTTTTTAGAGCCCAAAAGCAAAATAGTATGCCGGTTTTAGTGCTTTTCCTCTACATAATCGTTATTCTTACAGCGAACTCGTGTATGCTGGATTTAGAACGAACTTCCTATATGTTTCGGCAAAAGTTTGTTTTTCATTTCACGCGGATCACATGTGATTTTACGAGCGAAAGAGTAAGGGAAAAAAGACAACGGTTCAGTATCGACTACGTATTTGTAATTAGTATTAATAATTAATTGTACTTATATACAAAGAGTTCACTGCTGAAGTGAACCGAATATTCCAAAGCTAATTTCATGAAAAGAATTGTCTGAGTGAATTCCACTTGAATGATTCTTCCAGCAATCCTTTAGTATGTGTTACCGTGCGAAAGTATATTGTGATTTTAAGTATTATTATTTTTAGTCTAGAGTTGAGACCGCAAGCACTTATACAGATACGAAGAAATAAAGTAAAAAGAATAAGATAAGACAGACGTACATTCTGTATGAAAAAACGGACATATTTAGCGGAGAAAATACCTACGAGAATAACTACGGAGACAGCGGGCATCGACATCGAATGAAACACGATTGAAACTACGTGTGTCACAAGGAACAAGGAAATGTAAGTTTTGGTTTTAGCTTACTTGAGCGGTGAACCTCTCGTATGTGAGAAATAAATATGGTACACACGTGAAAGAACGGAAATGCAATTGGAACAATCTTACTCAGAATTTCGCCATAATAACGAACTATGTTAACCCTTGGTATGCGACCGTAGTATTAATTAGAACAAAGAATTAGTTAACTTTATTTTCAAAAATAAGTAAATTGCCTCTCTTTGTCTTTAAAGGCATTTCAAGGAGAAAAATAAGAGTCATATCATTTCTTGCAAATAATTAGAAGTCAAGACTATTAACACTAAAACTGATCCTGTTCTTTTGATATTCGGTGAGTTAAGCTGCTTATCACGATGAACTGAATACTTTATAGACCTGGTGTATTTGTTAACCTTTTCGTTTATAGTTAATTTAGCGTTTAACTAGGGGAATATTTAAAACTCGATTAACATGTGTTCAACTAAGCGTATATAGTGTACATGCAGCTGCACAAATACATACATTTATATTTGTATAACTCATTCCGTACTCGTGCTCGAATGCACGTTCATCAATTCTGAAATGATCACGTCTATTCATGAGAAGTTAACCGCACGTCGGCGACGACAAGACGCGGTCGTCACGAGAAGACGACGACCGAGATGCGCGTTCGCGGTTTTCACCCCCTTCATCGCCACCATTCTTCCACGTCGTCCTCGAGGAGGACGCGTCGTGCGCGATTACATCGCATTCAAGCGAGTGAGCGAGAAAGAGAGGACAGAAAGATAAAGAGAGGGAAAGAAGAAGGCAGCCAGATACGAAGCTAATAGAGAGGGAGAGGAGAAAGAAAAAGAGAAAAACGTTAGAAGGTCCTCTCGACGTGCCCCCTCATTTTTCGAGCGATTTGAAGGGACCGTTGCCTACCCATCTACCTGCTCCCTCAGCCGACTGAAACTACAAAACACACTTCTCCTCCCTCCACAGTTCGGCCTTCCATCTCTCCACCGCACTGTCTCTACTCTTCTCTTCCTCGTCTTCTTCTTGCTACGATCATCCAGGCGATGCAACTCACCTCGACTGGGATCCTCTCGACCCTCTTCACGGGACGTGATCATGATCGGGCTTTAGAGCCGTAATAGATTTAACAGTTTCCTCCGGGGGATCGGTTTAAGGTCGCCGAGGGGGACAAGACACGGGGCTCGAGCGAGGGGGCGAGATTTGCCGAAATTGAATGGGTTTCTTTGCCCCGTTCATTTCTGCCGAGTAACTTCTTCTGGGACTTCTCCGCTCGCGGTCCTGTCGTTTGATTGAAAAGCAAGCGAGTCCCATGGTCCCTCCGGGCGATTTCGCTATTTCCGTGACTTGCGTATACGAGAGATCGTCGCATCGGGGAAGTTCGTCGCGCGAGAAGTGGCCCGGCGCGTTCGTTAATTCGCCAACATCGAGAGATCAAGATCGAGATCGGGTCCGAGCAGGGAGTCGACGTTCTTTCGTTCTCATCGCTCACGCGTAATTTTGCGAATCAGATGATAATTTCTTACGTTAATCATCATGTGGATAATAAAGTCAACGGGTTATTTTTATTTTATTGAATTGTGTAATAAGTAATTTCGGATTTCCTATTAGAAAATCATTTCTGTTGTAAAATGATCCTCTCTATTGAGATCCGAAATAACATATTATACAATTCGGTGTTAATTTTGATGCGACGTGAATAATATTATTATTAACGATAATATAACAACTAATTTATAATAAAACATAATTTTGTTAAAAAATATATTTTTATTCGAAATACACAATTTAATATTAATTTTTTGTGTGACGTTAATAATCATTGTTGATGATAATAACAAGCAATTTAGGAAAATAATTGCAAAATAATAATGGAAACAAATTTCTGTTGGAAAATCAATTTCTGCATTAGAACTTCCAAAATAACTCATTACATAAGTCAATACACAAGTCAATATTAGCGTTTGTATGACGTTAAAAATACCATCGTTAACGATAATATAACAATTAGTTTATAATAGAAAATAATTTTAGTTAGAAAATAAATTTCTATTGAATTCGAAATAACTTATAAAAAATTCTGTATTAATTTTTATGTGACGTTAATAATATCATCGTTAACGATAATAACGGCTAATTTACAGTCGGAAATAATTGGAAAATAATATCAGAAAAAAATTTCTGTCGGAAAACAAATTTCTCTATTGGGATATAAAGTAACTTATTACACAGCTCTAGATTAGTGCTTGCGTGACGTTCAAAATACCATCGTTAAGGATAATAACGACTGATTTCTAATGAGCAAAAAATTCCCAAGATAGACTGCGCGATGTGATCATAAAAGATCTTTATAAATTTCCGTATAACGTGCAGGTGTGACAATCTCAAGATTAGAAGCAATCTCTCGGGACGAAGAATCTCGTGCCCCGAGCGACAATTCTTATTCTGCGAAGATAAACGTAGCAATAGGGATCTTTTTAATTTCGCCGAATTAATAAAGTCGAACTGAGATAGTTCACGGCGTTTCTCCTCGAATTAAAGTGTGTCAGAGAGAGAGAGAGAGAGAGAAAGAGAGAGAAACAGGGAGAAAAGATACCCGGCGAATGTGTGGCCAACGGGCTCCAAGAATCACCGCGTAGTAATTCCTGAATCGCTGATTGGTAATCTGCTACGATGGGACTAATTAAGGCACTCGCTCGTGCGCGCGTCCCACCGAAATGGGGCGCCCAAATTGTTTTCTACGCCGCATCGGTCGTCACGACTAGATAGCCTTGGGGATCGTTCCGACTCGTAAGGACGAGTTAGATAGGGTTGGCAGGGGGGGGNGGGGGGGGGGGGGGAGAAAGAGAGAAGAGTCAGACGATATTTCGCGAACTAATGAGCCGGCAGATTTTAACATAATCATCCTTATGATTTATAATAGGAGATCGTCCCTTCGCGAACCGCGCGTTCCCCTCGGCGGCGGCGCATCGTCGCGTCGCATCTGTGTCTTCGTTGAATCCAACGGTCGGTCGCACGACTGACTCTCTTCGAGATGTTTCGGAAAAAAAAATTTGATACTACACAGGGGAGACAAAAGAGGGCCGGCGTCGTACAATTTTCAGGTACTTCCTTCTCCGGCGCGAGGAAGGCGCCCGGCCATCTGTTGCGCGCGCGCGAGAAATCGGAAAACGCTTTCCGAGATCCTCGACATATGGCACGCGGGGGCAGACGGATTTATCTTCACGGAAAAAATATACTTCGACCTCTTTCCGAGGAGGAGGAAGAGCAAACGGAGGGTAGGTGGATGAGTATCTCCGCCGCCTATTTTACGGCCAGGATGAGCTTCAAACGCGAGGCAAGGGCGAACAAGAAGATCACATGCCGTAAACGAATATCCGTGAAACTTTTTTACAGCCAAGGTGATTTTTATCACATTCTAATAGACAGCGTGCAACCCTAATCGACGATTAACTAGCCGTCCGAGTTACCAACGTGAAAAACAAAATACCGCTTGCGTATTACCAAAAAAGAGAATGCAAATTTTCTTCCCTCTTCATCGATTTAAAATCGATTAAAAATTTGTTTTAATTTAATATTCTCGATTGAAGTACCAGTCTTAATAGAATTCAGAACATATTTTGTATAAATTTGATACTTATTAAAAACTTATACGTTTGCGGATATATAAATTCATGAAATATTTAAAACAAGTAACGTTTACTTCAACGTACGTAATATATATTTTTTCGTGTAGACGAAGTTCATGTATCATCCGACAGGGTTTAATACTTTACAGCCGGAAAATATGAATATACAGGTATATTATACCCATCAATTTTGGTGCTTTCCCTCCATCGGTTATATTTCACTAACACAAAATTATTAATTTTTTTATGTTCGTCGAGCGAGACAAATCACACAGCTACAAATGTGGCAATTTCTATTCGTCGATTATCTATCAGTTTAATCTTACAATTTAGTAAAAATCATCTTTAAACTTTCCGACCTCGTCGACTATATGTCTCACTGTAAGTTCAAACATTTGCCTCATGTTAACGTTGTTTAACCTACTTGTTTTTGCTGCATCGTAACAACATGTACATGTTTGCCTTAGAAAAAGCTGGGACTAAAAGAATTAATACGAACAGTAAGTATACAGCATAATGAACATACGCGTAATTCTTTTGAAATCAAATCGCATGATGAAACAGCCCAAGAAAAACGCAACATTCCGCAAGCATGTGATCGATAGTGCTACGTCGGTAACAAATGACTGCACGATGTTGCAATAATATGCATAATGAAGTGCGTAATATCGTTAAATACGAATTTACATATCACTTATCCGAGCGCGAAAGGATACATTGAGCAACGCAAAATTCGCCTTGAGGTTTAATAAATCATTCCTTATATATTTTTGGTTACTGATAAGGACATTTTGCACCTAGATTCGTATTTAGCAGCCAAAGATCTACAGGAAATCACCTACAAAATTTAATAAATTAAGGACACAAAAATAGATTCTTTGTTGCTCAATAATATTAATTATGGAGGCAATTGACGCTTTATTCCTACGCGATCGCAATTTTATGCAATCCTGCCATAAGTGACGATTGGTGAACGGATCGTTCGTGGATTCGCGCGTAATTTACGATTTTCCTCGCTCTTCACCCCGCGCCGCGTGTTTTGAAATATGCAAATCATGTTAAACGGAGCAAGGAGGCTCGCTGCGCACGAGGTGCCTCCGTTCGAGAGGGAGGAGAGGGATGCTGAGAATTCTTTCGAGAGGCACATTCTAAGAGCGATCTCGCAGGAGAAGGCGAGGGAAGTGGTCGTTGCTGCCGTCGCCGTTGCTGCTGCTTAGAGTTCCAAGTGGCTCTTTTCTTCTTTTT